ATAGACTAGTGTACGTGGTAGTAGTAGTTGGTACGCTACGTTTGCTAAAGGTATGGCTAGTGACGTGGTATAGATTGGGAGCTACGTTCTTTCTATATTTGCTAAAGGTATGGCTAGTGACGTAGGTAGTAGATTGGGAGCTACGATCTTTCTACGTTTGCTAAAGGTATGGCTAGTGACGTGGGTAGTACATTGGGAGCTACGTTCTTTCTACGTTTGCTAACGGTATGGCTAATGACGTGGGTAGTACATTGGGAACTACGTTTGCTAAAGGTATGGCTAGTGACGTAGGTAGTAGATTGGGAGCTACGTTCTTTCTATATTTGCTAAAGGTATGGCTAGTGACGTGGGTAGTACATTAGGAGCTACGTTCTTTCTACGTTTGCTAAAGGCATGACTAGTGACGTGGGTAGTAGATTGGGAGCTACGTTCTTTCTACATTTGCTAAAGATATGGCTAGTGACGTGGGTTGTTCATTGGGAGAAAACATTATTGCTTTTCTATATAGTTGTCAACTCTCTCAATGTCAGTCAGATTCTCTCTCAGGGCCGTGGGGAATGGTAGGGCCAGTCAGGCCATAGCCTGATCACTTTTTCATGGAATGTATAGCTACAATTATTGTATTAAACTTGCTTCTTTTAATTCAATACATTAGGTTGTGTGTATGCAGTATTTGTAATTAAAATGGCTCGAGATTCAATATAATGTATTAAATTTTCAAAAAAATGTTTAGGGCACGCCCCCGAACCCCCTAGAAATGGCATGCTTTGCCCATATTGTGTGCCACATTGTTTAGCTGTGGCAATGAAATGGCCTGACCACTCCAGGATCGGTTCCTACGGCAATGGACGTTATGAGGTTTATGGAGTAGAGTTTTTCTATTATCTTATAAATTTGTCTTATTTATTTGCGTTGTTTAGAATACATACAATGTTTACATTTTGTGTTTACATCATGGTCAGCCACTTTCTTCAACTTAGGCAAAATTAGAAATTCATTTTTAACTCCACATAATATGTTCTGTCATTTTTATACCTATTGTGGTTATTATCTGGATGGTTAGCAGTGTGCCTGAGAATACCACAGTGTAAGGTATTAAGGTTAATTTTGGTGCAGTGTACCTGAAAATACCACAGTGTAAGATATTAAGGTTAAATTTTGGTGCAGTGTACCTGAAAATACCACAGTGTAAGGTATTAAGGTTAAATTTTGGTGCAGTGTGCCTGAGAATACCACAGTGTAAGGTATTAAGGTTAACTTTTGGTGCAGTGTGCCTGAGAATACCACAGTGTAAGATATTAAGGTTAAATTTTGGTGCAGTGTGCCTGAGAATACCACAGTGTAAGGTATTAAGGTTAAATTTTGGTGCAGTGGACCTGAGAATACCACAGTGTAAGGTATTAAGGTTAAATTTTGGTGCAGTGTACCTGAAAATACCACAGTGTAAGATATTAAGGTTAAATTTTCGTGCAGTGGACCTAAGAATACCACAATGTAAAGTATTAAGGTTACATTTTGGTGCAGTGT